GGCTATCGCCCGCCTTGTGTGTGATTGATTAATCTGCGCTAACAAGGTCGAGAGAAGTATTGCAGAAGCGTGGCTCCTCAATCTGAAGCTTCGGCTATTTCCCACACACCTCCCAAGTGCTGCTTCCTCTTAGCCGTTGTTTCTTCGTTTGATTCAGACTGCTCTGTTTCCCTTTGATTTGATTACTACTTGTGTCGTTCCTGTGTTTTTTGTTTTTTATTTTTCCTCTTCTGGGCTTGGCAGTTTCTTCGGCCCACGTGGTTCTTTTGTCCTGTTACTGCTATTTTCTTTCTTTGTATTTAATATTATTTCACCCTTATAAAAAAATGATAAAAGAGAGATGACTCTAAAATATTGCAAAAGTGAATTTATAAACTCATTTAGAACATTTACGGGGTACTAAATAAACTTCTATCAACTACATGTAACAAAATATGCGACATCTACATAAGCAAGTGTTTTTGACAAAAAAAAAATACATAAGCAAGTGTCAATAAATTACTACGGCGAAAGGGGTTAACTGTTGTATTGACGGCCAACTAAAAGAATTGGTCAAACCTTTCCATCATCTACTTACTCTTCGTTTCATTTTTCACTCGCTTTCCATAACCCTTTCTATATTTCTTTCTTTGCCTTCTTCGTCCAACCATAATTAGTATACTATTAATTTTATGCATTCTAATCACAAGTATGAACGAGTCCATGCACAACTGACCAACGGTCTAGAGTATTAATAATTGAACCATGAACCACTAACTTTTTCAGTTCAATGTCGAGTCCAATTAAAAGAAAATATATATGATTATTACTTATTACAAAGTCATCATTTTCCACTTTGGGATTTGAAAGCATGAAATTTTAACCGAGTTCCCGTTTGTATTCCTTTTACTTCTCTCTAGAGTTTTCTTTTTTCACCCGTGCTAGAATTTTCAACAATTATACATGGAATGTCTAGCTAGGTATCTAGACATATTAGATAAATAGTCTTCATTTTCTATAAAAAAAAATTAAATAATTATCATCTTAAATACATCACTATAAAAGGAATTAAGCCTCCACTATGCAAATTACAGTTCAATACCTAAACATAATAGATCTTTAGATTTATAACCTAAATTTATTTTTTGGCATATAGTCCTCAAAATATTGATGGGACATTACCTTTTAGTACCTATACTTTTTGTGTATTATATTTTGGTACCTAAACTTTTGAAGTACTATAAATAGGTCTAATTTTTGTATGTGTAAATAAAACACCCTTGAATAAATGGGCATTCATACCCAACTCATACACATTTAGATTATGTAAGTACATATCCATACCCTACGCAAACCCATCTACAAACTTTTAAACTCATATATACGTCACTCATACCCTACCCGTAGTCAATGGATCTACTTGGGTTTAAGTAAATATCATTTATTAGCCAAAATTTTTTTTAAAAAATGGATGTTGACCGCCATATTTCTCAGTCAATATTACCAAAACTGGTAACAAAAAATTAATTTTAGACTAATAATACTAACAAAACACTATAACGGACCACATAATACATGTCCATATGTCATCTACTCCCCGCGACAAGGCCACCTAGTTAAAAAAATAAATTGAAAGCCCAACTAATTTTTCTTTTTGAGAGGAAACCTAATAGCCCAACAAATTATTAGATCTAATTCTAATGATATTTTACATTAAAAATTAAATTTTGGGTATCAAAATGTAAAATATACATAATAGTGACTAATCTGTATTTTTTTAGTGAACAGTAAACCTACTTCATGTTTATATATATTAATAATAAGCGAATAATAGTGAGAGTTCGGACTATCACTTCCTCTTAATATATTTTAAGATCTTATGTGGATGAAACCCTTTAGTCGGTAACTACTTAGCCACAAATATGATAAATTAAGCCACAAATTCCACTTAGATTAATGCTTAAGGTAATACCGATGCTACCATTCGTAATTTCATACCATTACACTAAAATTGATATATAGAAGGAACATAATCATAAAGCACACTTTCTATAAAATAAAACATGATGCTTAAGGTTCAAAAACTCGACCTGGAGATGATGAAGAACCACTCTTCCTAATGAGAAGCAAAAGGAACATATGATGATTTCCTATTCTCCTTGTGAGCCTTATAGCTTGAAGATGCACTTGTGTTTTCATATATGCAATCATGTTATGCCATTGTGAATTTATCTTGTGCCTATGACCTATCAATCAAAACTCACCATGAGTTATAATTCAAGCATGCTTTCTACTTGTTTTTAATATGCTTCTTCCTCATCTAAAGCAGAGCATTGGGCTTTGACACATTTGGTTTGTGAATTGGAATGGCTGAAAAGGCTATTGACAAAACTAATAGTGCATGTTCCCTTGCCTATAACAGTTTATTGTGATATGCTATCCACATAGCAGAAAATTCGATAACAAACAGTTAACCACCAACCAATAAAAGGCATTTTTCCTTGTGTTATTTTATGTATGTTGACCTTTGTAAAAATAAAATATAATCATATAAATAATTCAAAACAATTTAACTATACTTCAACATTGTTAATAAAAAAAATAATTATAAGAAATAACATCAATACAATGCATATCTACTGTTAATTCATAATCCAAATACAAATTCCCAATCCAAATACAAATTCCCATTAGAGATGGCAATGAGTCGGGTGGGATCGGGTTTTGCCAAACCCATGGGTTTATTTGTAAAAAAAAAACGGGGTAAAACCCAATGCGTTTGGAAAACTCAAACCCAACCCAACCCGCAGCCCGCTGGGTATCCGCGTGTTCATGGGTACCTATTGGTTTTTGTGGTAAAGAAATTACAATAATAAGTTCCTATCAAAATAAGATTCCAACATCAATTTCTTCATACAAATTATCCATACATAAAACACCAGTCAAGAAAATTCAAACAAATCACAAATTATCCATACAAATTGTTAATTAGATTGGGGAAAATTAGAATTAGTGTAGGGTTTGTAGAGAGTAGCCAACATAATAAGTGTGGCCATGTATCAATGGGTCGGGTATCCCTAAACCCAAACTCAACCCAACCTAGCAAAAGTGTAATGGGTTTAAACCCAAACCCGGCCCAAAACTCGTGTTATCCGGGTTGACCGGGTTGGGTCGGGTAAGATACCCGTGGAATAGAGTTTTGTTGTCATCTCTAATTCCAATACATAAAATCACAGATAATCAAATGTCTTCATCCACTTAACGAGTACTGACTAGCAAGACATCAAACACTAAAAGATCATCATCATACATCAAAGAAATAAAGACTACTAGGGTGTGAGTTTCGCTATATCGACTTCAAAGAGGATTCTAAATGGAGTGACTTTCTAGTTCTGACTATTAAACATAATTGAGAACTTGAGTGGAGAATTGTTTGTAATAAGTGTGTGGGATGTTTGGGTGGGTTTGGCTGGTTTGGACTTTTTTCTTTTAAAGCCCAAAACTATCGGTTATTGGCTAAACATTAAATAAAATACAACTAACCAAAATGCTAAGAAGTAAGAAATTATCGGTTATTAATAACTACATATAACCAACTATTTACCACGCAAAAAAAAAAAATATTTTTTATCTAGAAAAAATCAAAACAGTTAAATGAAATATAGGAGAAAATTAACGGAGGAGAGCATGGACAAAACCACAAGTTAGGATCTCCTTTCGCTTGTCTTGGGAAAAAATGAATATTTATATTTTGGAAGTTGCAACTGCCAAATCATGAGCAATAATCTTAAAAAAAAACTATGAAATCACGAGGTTTGTGATTCAACGTACATCTAGGAAGAAAATAAAAAAATTAATTAAAAAAACAAACAAACCAAAGAACAACCCTTTGAATTCATAATCCAAATACAAATTCCAACTAGGGATGACAATGACTCGGGTTGGATCGTGTTTTGCCAAACCTATGGGTTTATTTGTCAAAAAACCTATTGCGTTTGAAAAACTCAAACCCAACCCAACCCGTTGGGTATCCGCGGGTTCATGGGTACCCATTGGTTTTTGTGGAAAAAAAAAATTATAATAACAAGTTCCTATCAAAATAAAAGTCGAACATCAATTTCTCCATACATAAAACACCAGTCTAGAAAATTCAAACAAATCACCAATTATCCATACAAATTGTTAATTAGATTGGGGGAAATTAGAATTAGTGTAGGGTTTGTAGAGAGTAGGCAGCATAATAAGTGTGTGCAGGTATCTATAGGTCGGGTATCCCTAAACCCAAACTCAACCCAACCCGATAAAAGGTTAATGGGTTTAAACCCAAACTTGGTCTGAAACCCGTCAACACGGGTTTTACCCACGTTGACCGGGTTGAGTCGGGTAAGATATCTGTGGGTTTGGGTTTTGTTGTCATCCCTAATTCCAATACATAAAATTACAGATATCAAATGTCTTCATCCACTTAACGAGTACCGACTAGCAAGACATTAAACTGTTACAAGATCATCATCATTCACAAACATCAAAGATACAAAGACTACTAGGGTGTGAGTTTCGCTATATCGACTGCAAAGAGGATTCTAAATGGGGTGACTTTCTAGTTATGACTATTAAACATAATTGAGAATTTGAGTGAAGGATTGTTTGCAATAAGTGTGAATTGAGAATTTGGGCGTGTTTGGCAGGTTTGGAATCTTTGAATATTTTTCTTTAGCTAAAGTCCAAAACTATGTGGTTATTATACTAATAGGTAGTTATTGGCTAAACATTAAATAAAATACAAGTAACTAAAATACTAATAAATTATCGGTTATTGATAACCACTAACCATCTCAATCAATTAAAACATATAACCAACTATTTACGACGCAAAAAATATTTTATCACAAACAAAAACTACAAGTTAGGATCTCCTTTCGCTTGTCTTGGGAAAAAATGAATATTTATATTTTGCAACTGCCAAATCATGAGCAATAATCTAAAAAAAAACTATGAAATCAAGAGGTTTGCGATTCAACGTACATCTAGGAAGGAAATAAAAAAAAAAATTAAAAAAAAAACAAACAAACAAAAGAACAACCCTTTGAATTCTTCAACATCTCCCCTTCTCCATCCCACAGTTTCCCCTCGTTTCCCTGCTCGCTCGCTGGCCTGAAACGATTCTCACTTTCCCAACGCCGGCCTGAATGACCTAATCTCGGCGGTGTTCTTGTTGATGGAGCTTTCTATGGTAGGTACTCGTATAAGATTCTGGTACTTCATCTTGGTCTCCTTCGTCGTATGGATTTTCCTCCTCGCCATTTACTTCTCCGGCCACGACGGCGACGTCGTCATTTCCAAACCAATTAACAGCGATGAAAAATTCGCGGCGGAAATCCCGAATACGAGCGGGATGGAAGAAACAGAGCATCGAGGGGAAATCCCCAAACTGTATCCCGCCAATGCCACCATTGACAATTTCTTCATCGGTGGAGAGTGGGATAAGTATCTCCAACAGGTTGTCCTCCCAAAAACAGAGTCCGTGGACCCGAATCCCAAAATTGATCAGGTTGTGGTAGAGAAACACCCAGAGCTGGAAATCCCTTTAGATCCAGGGGATTCATGCTCTGGAAAGTACATCTACGTCCATGATCTCCCTACCCATTTCAATTCTGATATTCTAAAGCATTGCCGGTCTCTGAGCAAGTGGATGGACATGTGCCCGTTCATATCAAACATGGGTCTTGGCCCGCAACTACAGAGCTCCGATAAGGTTGTCTCCAATGAAGGATGGTACGAGACCAACCAATTCGTCGTCGAAGTGCTTTTCCACAATCGGATGAAGCAATACAAGTGCCTGACTAACGACTCCTCGAAGGCGGCGGCGGTTTTCGTCCCGTATTACGGAGGGCTCGATGTGGTTCGGTACTTGTGGGATAGCAAGCGTATGATGAGAGACCATTACTCGATGGCTTTGATTCAGTGGATTCGGGAGAAACCCGAGTGGAAGAGAATGTGGGGGAGGGACCATTTCATGGTTGCAGGGAGGATTAGTTGGGATTTCAGGAGATTGACGGAGAAAGACGACCATTGGGGGAACAAGCTCATGGTCCTCCCCGAATCCAAGAACATGACGATGCTTACGATCGAATCGAGCCCCTGGAACGAGAACGATTTCGCCATCCCTTACCCGACGGATTTCCATCCTTCCAGCGACGCTCAGGTGTTCGAATGGCAGCACAGGATGAGGAAGATCAGGCGGCGGACTCTGTTCTCGTTTGCTGGAGCACCAAGACCCAACCTGAAGAACTCGATTCGCAGCGAGATCATCCAACAGTGTAAATCCGCGAGGAGGAAGTGCCAGCTACTTGGATGCCACCCGAGCTCCAAGAAATGCGACGATCCGAGTAACTTGCTGAAGATGTTTCAGAGCTCGATCTTCTGCCTCCAGCCGCCGGGGGATTCGTATACGCGACGATCGACGTTCGATTCGATCCTGGCTGGGTGCATTCCGGTGTTTTTCCATCCGGGTTCAGCTTACGTTCAGTACCTGTGGCATTTCCCCAAGGATTTCACCAAGTATTCGGTGTTCATACCGGGGGACGAGGTGAAAGAAGGGAAGGCAAACATAACGAGGATCCTGTCGAGGATCTCAAGGCGTAGGGTAGTGGCGATGAGGGAGCAGGTGGTTCGGTTGATACCGGGGATTGTTTATGCCGATCCGAGGTCGAGCTTGGAGACATTGGAGGATGCATTTGATATAACTGTGGATGGGGTTTTGGAGAGAATTGATGGGATTAGAAAGGAGATGATACAGGGGAAGAACCTGACAGTGTCTGAGGAGGAAGAGGAGAGCAACTGGAAGAAGACGATGTTTGGGACGATTGGGCCACATCCTTGGGATCATTTCTTCATAAGAGAAAGGGAATGGAACCCTCAATGAGATTTTTTTCAGATGATATATAGTAGAAGAGCATACTTGAATTATTATTTATGTTTTTGTAGTGTGTACAGGGAGAGGCAGAGAGGATTTCTTTAAATTAGAGAGCAACATGTTTGGTTGACTTTTTTAGGTTACTGGGTTTTGTTTTCATTTGGAATTTTTTGGGTTTACTTGATTACACAGTTTGGACATGTTTTGTTGTGAATGTGGGAAATATGCTTCGTAATAGAATTTGGAATTTGTTATTGTTTACAATACATAAGAAGATGGCATCGAATCACAAGGATGTGGCATGGCAGTTGATCGTTTTCTCATTTAATTATGAGGTTGAGAGCTCGTTCAATGTCCATGAGCAAAGAACTCACTGATTTGTTTACGGTGATACATCATGCTCACCCATGGCAAATGGTTAGTCACCACTGGCCTGGCTGTAGTGAATACCCTAATAATACAAACAAGGAAATGATATCTCAATTGTCATTGATACTAGAATCAGTACTTGTGGTAATGAAGATGCCATGAAGAGTATGAGCAGCATGTATTGTGCAGAGCAAAATGATTATGTTTGTGTGTAAACCTGATGCTATAAGACAATTCTGAACATATGCATTTGAAAGCTATGGTCAAGTGCAAGGGTATTTGCACATAAATACTCCTCATCACTAAAAACGCGCATTTGAATGCTAGCAGGTAGTCCTAACTGCAATAGTAGCAAAATACCACTAACCATTACAATATAATTGTCCTGCAGAAATACTGTCTGGAAATTAGTGGACGGACATTACAGAAATTAGGTAGGTTAACTGTACTTCAGAAACCAGCAAGCACACATAGTGATAGACCGATTAGGTTTGACATCCTAGAAGTCAGGCGAAGTGGGAGCGAGCTTCAATGCCGAAAACCAGTGGATCCCATAGTGTGATCACCTTAAACACCAAAATCCCAGAATCTGTTCCCGGTCCGATTTCAATTTCCGCAGCAAAGAGCTGTCCCACTACAGAGTTCAGACATGCAGTTAGAGCTGGCAATTTGTCCCGGACAGTTTGGTTTTACCCGAAACCGGACCGTATAATCCGGACCGGGACCGGACTGGAACCGGATAGCAAACAATCCAATCGCATATTCGGGCTTAGATTTGAGGTAAAAAACCCGGATAAAGAACGGATAAGAGACCCCAATACTCAAATCCCCACAAGCTCAATCTAAAATCAAAATCAAATTGGAACCGGACCTGGTCAAGGCCGGACCGGATCAAGACCGGAGTGTATCCAATCCAATCTTTGGTCCTTATATTCCCGAAAAGATCGGACTGGGACCGGATCAATTTGGTCTAATTTAACCGGACCGGACCGTATAGCCACCCCTACATGCAGTTGCACTGTCTTCGTTGAGGGACAGGTATTCCTAGGCAGATTTCCTTAACAGCGAGCTGGCCACATCATTGTCGAAGAAGAGTATGCATGAAGTCGTCGAGACATCCTCACATTCCACGTTCATTTGAAACCTGGAAAAAATTACTGTAAATGTCGTTGGCCTTGTATAGAGGATCCTAATGTCGTGTTAGATAACATGTACCTTGGGAAGGGGTTAGTCTCAGGATCAGAGTGACAATGATTTGTATAAGTTGGAATCTTCTTTATCTTAATGAGGCACCAGATAGAGGAATGCTAAAATAACAATCATGAATGGGAATTAGAAGTGTAAACTAAAAACCAAGTATTGTAAATGAACGAAGTTATTTTCTCACATTTTGTTGGGATGCTGATGGCGCCTTAGAAGCCATTAATTTAAACAGGGTTGCTTTTGGTGGCAGCCTGTGCTTAACATATGCAGGCTCATATGTGGGTGAGTATCCTATTGTCACAAGTCTGTGAACATGGGAGAATCTGAGTATATGGGTGCACACACAAAAGCGATAAGACATGCAGACTTTTACTATTGTCGACATCCACAGTATTATTACAGTATTCAGAGGATTGATCATGTGAAGGGTAGTATTCTTACGCATTTTTAAGTTCCCTGAACTGATGAGACCAGCAACCCTGGATTATGCGTGTGGCGGCTGTGTTGAGCAAGCAAAGAGTCCCTGAATCTGTTTTAGGCAAAATAACTTGTGAATTGTTCAGGTCAATTGCACACAAACAATAATCATCATAAACTGTTTATAAAACATTACCTTCTATTTCAGTGACCAACATGCTTGTGAAAGCTAGGATGACTGGTCCACTCCTCTCGACTGCAACAATACCTGTCTGGGATAAAGCATGGTTCAATGATGCATGTTTGACCATTATAGTGTTGCCACTACAATAAAAGAAAGGATGTCAATAATTTTATGTGTATAAGATTGGATAAAAAGTAAAAGGGGAGCCATTCAGCGGATCAAACGAAATACTAACTTGCAATCCTCCAATACTGCGGCTATGGTTGGCATTTGGAATGGTCATGTCTCCTCTTCAGAAACACTTAGTAAGTGGCCGACAATATCTGTAGATTGAGGGAAGGAAAATGAGTTACGTGGGCAAGGTACCAGGCTTTCAAAGCACACGATTTATTACCTCAAAAGTCTGTTGTTAAGTGCAGATGGTTTATGAGATCACTAAAAGATGTAGGGTAGAAGCCATCGATTGGGAACCATGGAAAGGTTGGATCCATAGGAAGTTCTTCAAGCTGGTCCTCTGCACTGATCTTAAGCAGAAATGGAGCCGGGCAAGTGCGTAGAGATCGGTGAGGATGCCTTGCAAAAACCGAACTGAATTTGTAAATCTTTCCACGACCGAAGAAGTTGGGAATCTGCCCGCCCAAGGAAACTTGTGTGTATCCTTCTATGAGATTTTCCTGCAAAGCTAATGTCAATCAATACACACTATGAATTTGGAACATGCATCAGATCCAGTATGTAGCATGCATTTCGTAAGAGAATATTGGGAATGAATGATGTGAAGAACATGTACACGTGTGTCAATCCACTGGCTATGTACTGCCCGCCTATTTGGTTCTGCTTCGAAGCAATTCTGCATCAAATAATTAAGAAGGCGCATGATCATTGGTTCTTCATTCAATCCAAGGTGGAGGCCTTCGATGGTCAAATGTGCGGCTGCTAGGTCTGGATTACGGAAAGAAACATTAGGATTTGTGTACACTGGTTCTGTAGAGAGGGGAGATAAAGAACGTTGGAAATATAGATAAAACTCACCTGCAGGCCCCCAGGTGAGGTTATAGTCACCCACCATCTTGGATCAGAGTGATTCCGGTGATTATGCCACGGTTGAATGCCGCTGAATACAAAAGGGGGAAGGGAGGAACAAACTTCCAATTGCTCGTGGTGAAGCAATGTAAATTGGATGCCATGAGGGTTTTGTTTGTCCTGGGAGGAAGTACTGCACTGGCAAACGTATGGCAGTTGGCGTGTGATGAACGAACTATAGGATCATTCAACAACGGAGGTTTTAGTCAGAAACCAAGACATGATTCAATGTTGCAAGGTAAAGGGTGAATGGGTATGGAGTGAAGGAACGTGTTGGCTTGATCGATGGGATTGAACCGATTCAACCCATTCAAGGGTGCGGGACCGATGAGAGTTGCAGGGTAAGGGGTTGAAGATCATCAAGGATGGGGATGAGTCGAGAGGTTAGGTATGATGGGTTAAACTGTTAGGTCTTGTCCAAGTAAACCGTTGGCTCTGTAGTGAAGGAAACTTGTGTGTTTGAGCGATGGGATTCAACTCATTCAAGTTTACTGGAGCGATGGTAGGTGAGGGTTGGTGTTTTAAATTGTTAGTTCTTGTCCAAGAAAACCGCGACCATTTCACGACCCATATCAAGATGCGCAAGAATATGCTCTACTGGGTCGTTGGTAATTGGACCTCAGAAATGTCTATACTGTGAGAATATATGAAGAAGGCTCTCATCATGTTGTTGTCCCAAGTATTGTGGTAAGCAGGATTTGGTAAGACAGGCACCAACCTAATAAACCCGATTCATTAGTGGAGGCAAATAATAAAGTCTGGTCAACATAATGGAAACATGCATACCACTGTCAGGGCTGCCGAGGAAGTGCAAAGCTATAACATATTAGTTTAAGTTCCTAGACATTTAGAACTTCAAAACACTAAACAAAGATGTAGGTGGTAGGCAGATCGCCAGAGAAGTCATATGCAAACATGGACTGGCAAGCTTCGCACATATAGGGCGATTCAAAAGACGGAGTGGATGCCATAGATTGGTAATTTTTAGAAAGCCGATGGGTGCCATAGCGTAGCAACGCGAATGTGTGGGACTGTATGTTCGTCTGCACTTGCGATGTAAACTTCTGCTGCAAATGGCCTGTTGCGGCGAGCCCAGATGAGAGCCTTTGCTTCTTGGTGTGGCTTCGTGCAAAACTCTTCCGGCGCCATTTGAACCAACGACAATGTGGCCTTATGATTGAACGTCACCTCGACGCGCGTACTTCCGATGCGCACTCGGCACGCAACTCATAATGCAACCTAGCGTAAGATCATGGTCATGTGTTGTCTTTGAAAGCGATTGGGAGGATAAATTTCATGTTTGAAAAAAGTTTTTATGTGCTCACTCTGGGTATTCTGGTGTTGTCTTGCAAATGCCACTGCCATAGGTGAACGCAGTGATCTCCAACATGCAGCAATAGAGGACCTTAACAAAAATAGCATTGTTCAGGCTTTTGGTCCCAAAAAATTGCATAGTGTGCGAACATATTATGTGGAAAAAAAGTTTGAAAATGTAACTCATGACGATGCGGGTGAAGTGTCAGATCCTTTCGTAGTTCTCCGAGCGTTTTTCTCGGCGGACGTTGGCCACACAAGAATCCAACATGATGTCTAGTATCTTTGTCAATGTAAGTAATTGGCCTACGGTTGGCAACGAATCTAAAGTGCAGGTCAAAAATTATTGCAGTGCAGACATTTTCAATGTAAAAGGTGGCAGGCAAACAAAGGAATAGAAACAATACTGCCATTTAGATGTACCTGTTAATGACAGATGCATGTTGGTGATGATATGAAGCAATGATCAGTCGACTTGCTGGTGAGGATTTGAATTCATAAGGAGCGTCTTCTCCGAGCACAACAGGGAGCCTAGTCAGTGCAGTGATCGCGTTATCAGGGGGAGACGGAATTCTGCACCCGGGGCATAGGTAAGATACTTTTTAACCTCCGGGCCCGAGTAGTGCACGATTGCCCTCGCTCCACTATTTTTGTAAAAGACAGTGTTAGTGTTTAATGTGTTCAAGGAAGCAGTAACACAACTGGGTGTTAACGTAGAGAATACCTTGCTTCTTACATGATGATCTGGAATTGCGAATCACCATTTTCCAGCACTTTTGGGAGAGTTAGATTGATCACGCAACCTGTGACATCTGTCAGTTTACTAAACAGTCAGGCAATGAATACGTCCGAATGGGTATGCACACAAAACATGCCTAATTTAGTGAAAAGTCAGCCGACAAAAACATATTGAAGCTGGTGCAGGATATTGAGAAAAAGGCTTGCCTGAGAAGCATAAGGGATTTGCATGTTCAAATGGAACATAAACAAACGGGTTGTTGAGGAAGCCATTGCATGGGAATTGAATACGACTGCGATTCTCCTAGATGTGAGTAAATGCTTGCCCTTTGATGAAAGACAATCGCACATCAGCGGGCACTGCGCGCATCCCAACCCTGGTGGGGATGACATGTACTCCACATATTTTATAAAGACGATCTATCTTTAGCTGCGGCCAAATGGAATCGATGTCATCTTCCTCAACGCGTGCTCCAAGCAAATTTTCCTGTGTAATATGTAAAACCACGCAGTCAAAAGACAGCGAAGGCAAGGGTAGAAGTAAAGCTGTGAACAAGGAAGCTGATTAACATGTTTGCCACTGATTCATTTTCGGGAGGGTATATAATATGTAAGTGTGGGTGCAAGCGATGCATGAAACGATTTAGGTGGCAAACATACCTCTTTGTCTAGCCACAACATATGTAGTATTCTCATGCACCACGTACAACCATTTCAATATTCCACCCATATCTTAAGCAATCTAGCTATAAGTATGCATTCGTTCCAGCCGAGGTTAAGGAGACGAAATGGTGTGCATGCTACTATCGGGTCTGTTGTACCCGTGATAGGGAATAGATTTAGTGTAAGAGCACGATCTGGCTGTTGAACAGAGCTTCTTAATACCAAAATCGAAAGATGAAAGGAAGGAAAGTGTATAACCTTGGGGATCAGTCGGTAGTTCGTAGTAGCGGTCCATGGGAAGAGTCTCACCTAACGAAGGTGTAGGAATACAGAGCTATGGTGGCCGGGTGCAAACCTGGAACTCTAGGGTTCACTGTTTATGCTGGTCGAGTGTGTTGATCGTGATGGGGGAAGGGAGAAAGAGAACCGAAGAGGCGGGAGAGGAAATAGGTGAGTGCACCGCTGGGGTCCCACCTTTACCCAATTTCTAATGGGCCGCCAAAGTGGGTTTCCAAAGTGTAGATGGGCCTTCATTATTAGTTTACGACTCTTTTTTGTGTGTTTACCTGACCAAGGCAGGCCGAACAGTAAGTGGACCGAGCTGAAGCTGTACTTGGACCCAAAAATGTTGAGACCCATCTGCACAAAGAATAGAGTTTCGACTTTCCTGATAGACAATCACAACGGCAGAACATTTGAAGTTGCATGCCACAATTTTTGTTTGTTCAGGTGCAGACCAAATCAGTTTCGTGCTATACTAATGGAAACTCAACAAATTAACAAATTGTTATCACAGGAATTTAAGTTATTTGGTACAGGATGGCGGGCATCACACACTTATATAAATCTGAACTACCAAATGCAAGGAGCTAATGGATGTAGAGGAATTTACTAAGACAGTGTAGAACATAATGTTGTAAACATCATCAATCTACAGCTGGAATAAGAACAGAGAAGCAAAATGGGGAGGAAAAAACTGACAATAATATGCAGAGAAGCTATACTACCAGAAAGGGTACTTAATACACAGGCGTGTAAAAACCGGAGGTAATAAAGCTTGTCTGCATAGATTCCAGCAACAAATAGCGTGCCTGTTGAATGGTCAAAATATAAGGCGAGGAAAAAGACCATTATCCACACAAAAAAAATGTTTAGCTGAGAGGTAACTGATGGGCAAGGTCGCCTGCATCAATTCCTGAGTTCCTCTGGACCAGAAGGTTCTGCAATAGCATAAGTGCATTAGTATATCAGCGGCATCATGTCAAGGCAACACATTGACACTGCAAGCAAGATAAGAGCAAATACCAGGGAATGTCAAGTCGGCATAGAGTTTGCTGTAGACAACGTTTTTAGTGCAGTTATATGGTAAGGCCTCATCATTGTGAATAAGAAATCTGAGGCCCGCTGCAGATCGCACTCGCGAGACAACCACATACAACTGCCCATGGGTGAGAACAGGTTTTGGCAAGAAGACACCTGCTCTCTCCAGAGTCTGTCCCTGGCTTTTATTAATTGCCATGGCATAACAAAGTCTGACTGGAAATTGTCTTCTCTTCATTGTGAAGGGCCACCTCTGATCACTAAAGTTCAAGGCAATTCTTGGTATAGCCACAACTGTGTCCTCATACGTTCCAGTGAGTATAATTCCCTTGATAACATTTGTGCCCAGGTGTACTACCATCAATTGTGTTCCGTTACACATGCCAACAGGTGGATTGATATTCCTTAAAAGCATGATCGGAACATACAGTTTCAACCCAATTTCATGTTCAGGCATCCCATTAAAGGGTAGAGAATTAAGGAACTCAACAAGATATAAAGTATCCAACTCAGAACTGTTAGTCGATTCGGTGCACAAAGTGTCTGTGCTATAGTACACTTTTGTGTCTTCCGGAATGCAAGAAAGAACAACAACGTTTAAATGTGACACTGTTTAATTCGTAGGGGTGATCACAAAACGGTTTTTCAAGTATGAAACTGACCTGTGTGACTGAAAAAGGTCGTGGAAAACGAAATCAACTATTGGATCAATTGTATCGCCTTTCCGTGGTAGAACCAAACACTGAGGTATGTTTATCCTAATATTTTCAGAAGAATCAATCATCGAGGCAGCAGGTGCAGTCCAATTCCCAACTGCAAGAACCCATTATGGAAATGTCATGCCACTGAAATATGTGCGCTCGTAGCGTCATGATTTATACGCATGTTTTGGTGTAATCATAGCAGTTGGCAGTGATCCCATAATGGTGAACGAAAAATTGATGCATTTAGAGTTTCCTCTCGTCCACCTAGGGGTATCACTGGGAGAATCTAACGGAAATCACCTCCCAAAAGAACTTTTTTCCCACCTAAGAGGCAGGAAACATGTTCATTTAGCGACACATTCATTAGGTCACCTAAGGTTTTGTTTAGAGCTCAAAGCAGAACCGGTGTGTCATTGGTGCTTCATCCCATACAATAAGTGAGGTCAGATGTAACAATTCAGCTAGTTGAGTTCCCTTCTCCACATTGCAAGTGGAAAAGCTGTCGATATCAATGGGGATTTGGAACCTCGAGTGGCCAATCAATCCATCTGGGAGTAAAGTGCCTGCAATTCCTGAGGATGCAACAACCAGAACGATCTTACGTTGGCTGCGGAGCTCTGAGATGATTGTGTTGTATAAGTATGTCTTCCCTGTCCCGCCATGTCCATATATAAAGAAAAATTGTCCCTTTCCTCCTTCTACCGAGTTCATTATGTTGTGATAGGCGGCCCGCTGTCCATGGTTGAGCATTGAATAAATGTCTTATGTTGTGCGCTGCTGTATGCAAGAGTCATAATTGAGCTACTCACAAATCAATCTGTTTATAATAAAAGAAGGAGCATAATTAGTAGGTTGTGGCA